GGGGGAGAAGAAAGAGGACGAAGAGGAGGAGGGACAGGGGAAGCAGGGGCGAGGGCGGATGGTGCTCAGGAGTGTTTGTGTTCTTGGTGGACGTGTATGGTTTCGTCATCAACAGAATTTCAAACACACACACACGCACATAATGAGAAAAAAAATTTTACGCGACATTGTTTCGTTTTCACATGTTTTGTTTTTAACTTGTATACAGCATAAAGTATGTAGTAACGGACAATGAATTCTTCTCCGACTTCTCACAAGTAATGTATTTCAAAAATGAAATAAATTTATACGACAATTTCAACATTTGTTCCACAAATTCCCTTGACTTATTCAAGACGTCAATATAATAATTGTGCGTTGTGGATGGCTGACGGGTGCTCAGGTTTGGTTTGCTCCTTCTTTCATTCAAAGAAATACATTGTCCCTATCTCTCTAAGGACCCAATTTTGTTGGAGTGGTCGTGTTGTAAGAATACATGACCTCAGAACCCCAACGGCAGTATTCTATTCTGAACTGTCCTCAAGGAAGCGTAAGATTAGCACCCCCAAGAAAGCACCACAGTCACATCCTGACAATGTCTCTGAAGGACTTAACCAAAAATACTTTAACGTGGGAGAGCCTAGCTCCTGACAGACTCAGCTGTAGAGGAGACCAGTGAGTAGCCACAGCGAGCAGCAAATCATATATTATGAGGCTTCACGAATAAGAAAGGCTGAACCTTGAAACCAAGACAGAGCCCCCACGCTGCGCACATCCACAAGTGGAAGGGAAGCCTTTACGAGTAAATGTTCTGGGGCAAACTTTTCTCCGCCACAATTGGTCTCATCGGCCAGAGAAGAAGCCACACGTCATCTTAACCTTTAATTCTTTTAACTCTTCTTTTCCGATGGAGAAATAGTTTCCTTTGTGTCGATGTATTGGTCATCGTCAGAATTGAAGGACGGGCTATCTTTTTTGTGTTTCTTACTCTCTTGTAACACACCCCTAATTATTGTCAGTCAGTCCGTACCTGTATGGCCTAACTGTGTCCTTAGTGCCATAAAACTCTACTAAGACAAAACGTGTTGTGCTTTGAAAGTGTGTCTGGTGCTCTCTCAATGTCTTTCTTTTTCCTTTACACTTTCTGTCTAGTGGGTGGTTGACCCCAACCACCACCCCCAACTATATCCCAAAGTAAATGAAAGTTTCCCCATAATGAAATATGCAGTTGAAACCGTTATGACCGCACGCAATTTGCATAGAGTGATCAACCTGGCGGCTTGCTCGC